TCTTAATATGAAGGCATTCAGTCCTTTGTTGCTAAATATAAAGTTGACTTTAGTATTTTATACATTTTTAAAAGCCAACATGACTTGTCATATGTGGTCGAACCTCCGTCAAGATGTTAACTTTTATGTAGGGGAACTCTAGGGGAAAGAATTCCTCCTGATCAGCAAAAGCAGCTGGAAGGTGCATCCATTTTGTCCGACTACAATGCCCTTCATCTTTGAGACTTCATGGTGTTATGGATGATGTCATTTTACACCACTCCCAAGAAGAAAAAGCAAGTTAAGTTGGCTGTCCTAAAATACCTTAATGTAGATGAAAGTGACATTAGTCCCTTTGTAAGAGTTCTCTTGATAAATGTGGCTGAAAATGACGTCAGTCCCCTTTTTTTTTTTTTTTTTTGCTTTTTCGAGACAGGGTTTCTCTGTGGCTTTGGAGCCTACCCTGGAACTAGCTCTGTAGACCAGGCTGGTCTCGAACTCACAGAGATCCGCCTGCCTCTGCCTCCCGAGTGCTGGGATTAAAGGCGTGCGCCACCATCGCCCGGCCGTCAGTCCCTTTGTAAGAGTCCTCTAGATAAATGTGGTACTGGAGCTTTTCTTACCAATAATTTGATGTTATTTTATATTTAACAAGTAACTTATTTAAAGTAACAGAAGACATGTTTGTCAGTTTTGTTTCCATCAGAAGGTATAACAGCTGCCTTGGATGACTGAACAATTTTTACAGCTGAAACAATGGATTGACTAACACTAGGGGTAAGAGTGAGGACATATATGTGGACTTTTAGTTCATCTTAACCAGCTTTACCAGCATGGTTCAGTGAAGGCAAAGATTAGAAGTAGAGTGAGTAGAAAAAGACTTAGGTATTTCAGAGGTCAGTTAGCGCACTATGAATGCGTATGTACAATGGTGTGGCTGCCGAAAGAAAGAATGTAGTTTTCAGCTCAGTTGATGGCATTGCAGAGGATGGCAGTGCTTGTTTCCTGATGAGTCAGACCAGACCTGCTGTACTTCATCTCCTGGGGCCATCCCTGTTCAAAACAACAAACACCACCACAACAAAGCAATACAGCTATAAATGTAGAGGCAGCTAAAGCGGTCTCAAAAGTTATGTCAAAGAATGAGAATGTACCAATACTAGCATTTGAAGAGACCATTCTTACTTGGTTGAGTTGTCTTGGCTCCATGTAAGAAGTAGTTGATGGGGGGCTGGAGAGATGGCTCAGTGGTTAAGAGCATTGCCTGCTCTTCCAAAGGTCCTGAGTTCAATTCCCGGCAACCACATGGTGGCTCACAACCATCTGTAATGAGGTCTGGTGCCCTCTTCTGACTTGCAGGCATACACACAGACAGAGTATTGTATAAATAATAAATAAACAAATATTTTTTTTAAAAAAAAGAAGTAGTTGATGTAAATGTACAGTTACTGCCAAAGGGGTCTTGTGCCAGAAAGTGCATCGATGACCTGCTCCTTCAAAGGTTAAAGCTCATTAGGGTGGAAGCCGGCTTGTTGATTGATTGAACTTGCTCTTTATTTCCTTGTGGACTGGCAGCAGTCTACTGAGCAGCCAATGTCTGTGGGCTGACTGCACTTGGAGCACTACTATAGGACCTTGCTAAGGTACATGCCACTGAGCAGAGCAGTGGCTGCTCACTGGTCCTGCCCAGGGCTATCAGGTCAGAGTCTGCTTTACAGTGTGATTCCTCGGTGATCTGTTGTCCTATTAAAGTCTGAGGTGCAGTGCTACGGAGTAGGACTGTAGCTGACATTTTTAAGGGTCTATTCAGTAAGTGCAAGACTGAGTAAAAACGTGTCCTAGTTTGGTTTTCTTTATTCTGCTTGAACACTGACCAAAAGCAGCTTGAGGGATAAAGGATTTACTTCATTTTACACTTTCAGATCACAGTACATAGAGAGGAAATCAGAGCAGGAACCTGGAGGTAGGAATTGAAGCAGAGACCATGGAGGACTGCTGCTTAATGGTTTGCCCCACGCTAACATTCAGCTAGCTTTCTTACGCAGCTTAGGCCTGTCTGTCTAGGAGGGTGCTGCCTACTGTGGCCTGTGCCCACAGTTCAACCTGCTGGAAGCAGTTCTTCAGTTGAGGTTTCTCTAGTTTCAGTTGGGTAACTCTAGTTCGTGTCAAGGTGACAGGAAAAAGTAAACAGTGTGGAAGGGCAGAATAAATGTTGGTGTAGGGCACAGAAAGTATTTTGGACTTCTTAGGTAGCAGAAGCTCAACAAGATCTCCACTAGAACCAAGGGCCAGCCCACAGTTTCTTTTACTGCTATCTAGAGATGTGCTTGTTTGCCCAGAGAGTTAGAAAAGAGATGTGGGGTTATGAAGAGGTGAAAGGAAGAATAAAACGACACCACACCAAGCACCCCTTTCCAAACAAAGTAAAAACCTTACCCCAGCTATTAGAATGGCCTTCCTTCATCTTTAAGAAGCTCCAGTATATTGAGAGAGAGGGTCTTCTGGCCCCTCAGGCATGCGTGCTCACATGTACACATCACATGTAGACATATACACATACACATAATTTTAGAAAAGAAGTTTCTCTGCAGTTCTTCCTACTTTTTGGATTATGTAAATAGAAATGAGTTCTAGAAAGGTCCATGATAAGATTGAAAAGTAGAGGGAAGGTTACGGTCTGAATGCCTTCTGTGTTACAAAGCTTGAGCTCTGGAGAGTGTTTTTGGCCTCTGTGATCTCTCTGGTCTGTGACCAGAGGCAGGTACACTGAGGCTTTTGCCTCACCAAGTTTTTTCTTGTCCTATTTTGAAGATATCTTTGTTTTATGCCAAAAGCAAAGCCATAGTTCTGAACCCACTTGAATTCCCCTATTCTTCATTCTTGTGTAGCAGCTGCCTTTGCCCTGCCCCGCTTTGCAGGAAAATAAATCACTCTGTGATCCGCCTACTAACAGTAATCCTAACCCCATCCTTCTGACCTGTAGGGTGGTCCTCCAGCACTCTGTGTCTTATGTGTCTTACAGCTTTCATTCTCCAATGTGCTTTTCACAATTCTTGGTAATTCTTCCTCTGAGGCAGCCCCTTCTTTAAACACAGATGTTCTGAGAGAGTAATTCACACACAGTGCTCAACTCAATCTATTCTCATCCCATCCCATCTCTTTCCCCAAATTCTCACATTGGTCTCCAGAAATTTTCTTTGGACACGTTCTTACCATTGTCTGTTTTTCGTGGGGTCTGCTGTTCTGTCTGTCGGCAGTGCTTTCTAATCCACTACTCAGAAAGTGGAGTGAGCGTTACTATTGATGCTGAGGATTTAAGTTTTTACCGAATGCCTTGAGGGTTCTTCCTGTGCTAACTTTGTCATTTTGAGTTTGGTGAAAGGTTTCTGGACCCCGATACTAAGTCTCTCTGCCAATGCAATAAATCAGATTAAACCAAATTAAAAGTCCAGGTTTAATGAGAAAAGCAACTCCGGGTAGTCTTGGGAGGTGGAACAGGGGAAGAGACCACAAGGGGAGACCACTACAGGAAGTCTGTGGGCCAAACCTTAAACACTCTGTGGGGGTGGAACTGCTGTAAGCTATGTTTTGGCAGGGTCTGGAGAGGGCATCTTCAGGGGAAATCCCCAACAACTGGAGTCCACATGGACTCCATGGACTTTCCCATGGACTCTGAGAAGCCCAACCAGATCTGCAGGAGCAATTCCACTGTTCTACTGGACCACTCCAGAACCTAAGCTTGAGTCAAACACACAGACTCATAGAACCATGTGTTTTCTGTACCTTTTGCTAAGCCTTTGAAACAAAAGTGAAATAATATATTACAATTTATTTACAAATCCTAATTTTGCTTTGCACTTGTATAAAATCACAGTTTACTCATGTTTTCTTTCCCCCACCTTAGTTTTTTCTTTTTCTCTTCAAGACAGGGTTTTCCTGTATAGCCCTGGCTGATCTGGAACAAGCTCTGTAGATCAGGCTGGCCTTGAACTCACAGATTCGCCTGCCTCTACCTACAGAGTGCTGGGATTAAAGTGTGAGTCACCACTGCTGGCCCAACTTAGTTTTAAATGACCTTGGGTTTCAGCATCATCCTCATAAATATCTGCAGCATGGACCAAGTGCTTTAGCATCATCTCCATAGATATGTGCTCTGTAGCCCAAGGTATGAGGTGATTTCAAGTGCCTGGTGGTGCTCAGTATGTACCTGTTGGAGGCATGAAAACCCATAAGCAACAGCACTGAGAGCTGATAGGCAGTTCAGCTGATGCTGCATCTTCTCTCCCAGCTGGCCATCTGGAAAGCTTAATTATGAGCATATTGCTGGGTCTGGTCTAGATTCTATTGTAGTTTTTTCCAATCATGCAAGGCAGTTTTTCTTTTCATATATTTCCTGTTAAAAGTCAAGTTGGAGCGTGTTCAGAAATGTGCTTTCCTTTTTGAATTTGTGCAGGCTACCCAGCTGAAGCCCTCGTTATTCCTTTGTTCAGGGAAGAAACTGCTTTGGAAAGAATTCTGTTAAATGCCGCAGGTAGTAAATCTTTCTCCATCCTCAGTCCTCCTACACACACACAAAAAGAGAAGAAAATAAAAAAAATTTAAGCCGAATTTACTTTTGTTCCTATAAACAGGAGAAATACAAATTTCTTTTTTCCACTGTATTAAAATTTTATGCGTTTGAGTAGTTGTTGTGGTTTTCGTCCTTTGCAGTATTTCTGGATGGTATTGGAGTCCTTGCTTCTGGTTTAGGTGGAGCACTACTTCATTGTACAAGTGGATGTTTTATGTCCCTCAGCTTTGGAGAGTGTTATGGTTCAGCAGGACAGTGGAATTGCTATTGGACATCTGCCTGGGCTTCTCAAAGACCACCGGAAACTTGTTCTTGACTATCAATCTCCCCTTTCCACATTGTTAGTGTTGTCTCTATATATTTAAATTGTCTGTGCTAATGGAATCAGCTGGCTAATTCTGCCCCTGCTGTGTCTATAACTGACAATGTACTTCTCCATTCTTGTTCACAGAGGGACCTCTCAGGGCACAAGAACATTGTGGGCTACATTGATTCTAGTATCAACAATGTAAGCAGTGGCGACGTATGGGAAGTTCTCATTCTCATGGACTTCTGCAGAGGTGTGTGTTGACCCTACTGAAGCTCTTGTTTCTGACACTTTCATGGCCAAGGACATGGGTCATTTCACTTGCTGTCCATTGCACCCTGAAGATAATGCTCTGGTTTCACAGATGGGAAAGCTATGCGATCCATTGATGCGCTTGATTATTTTCATGACTACAAGGGTTATGGTACAAAGAATGAAAGCAATAGGTAATTCCAGACCCTGTCTCCATTAAGTGTAGTAAGGTTTGGTTGTGTATATAAATGAGACTACATGAAAATGAGAAAGAATGGGTTCTTTATGAGGGTTTAACAAACAGTGAAGGCATATAATAGAAGGTGTATGGAGCTTGTAGAAATTGCAGCTTCTTTACCCCTTCTCCACTCACAGCACTGCGCTCCTGTGATCGACTGAAAGAATCCCATTTGTCTGTGAATAGGTGACTCTCTTATTGCTCTGGGGCTGTAATACCTGGTAAAACTACATTCAGATGCTGCTACTTCCAACTTCAAATAGATGGAAGCTTGGAATTTCATGCATTTGTCTTGAGAAATCCAGACTTTAGCACGAATGTGTTGAGTTGATGGCATCCTATGCACCCGTTGTTTGGAAATTTGGCTCTTTTGGCCTGAGTAGCTGATATTATAGGTTTGGATCATTGCCTTACTGTTTGATACCCTGTTTTGTAATTGTCTTTAGTGCTACTAATATTTTCTGACTTTAAAGCTATTTCCCATAAATTTATTCTGATCCTATAAATGTGACATTAACCATTAATTTTGGCATTTGTTGACTGATTTGTTGATCTGATTTTGTAAAATATCACCAAATTTGAAATTGACAATTTATTCCCCCTTTTTTTTGCCTAGGACCTTTTATAGATGCCAGGCAGTAGGACTCAGGTCTAGATAATTTAGTTTAATATTGGTAACCAGTGTTTTGTTCCCAGAGAAACAAAATTCCCCAAGAGTTAAAGACTTCAAAGTGGAAACAGACCCATCTTTTTCCTGCTCCCTGGGTCTGTTGTGCTGTCTTATTTTTTCCTGAAAGACATGACAGAGGCTGTGGCCTCGTCTCCTACACCATGGAGATATGACTACCAGGCAGCAATAACTGACTATGTCAGTTAGGCTTCTAATCTTGAGGATACAATGAGGGTTGCTCACAACTGTGTGCTTAATAAAATAATCTGGTTTTGAGGCACCAAAGGAGACATTGGGTTGTAAGAAAACAAATCTCAAGCAGAGACTTGAGACCCCTTGGGTTTAGTGCTGGCTTGGCCCATAGTCCACTTCTGTCTGGACATCTGCCAGTGTCTTGATCCAAGTGATGAGTCTGCTTGTTAATACCCTTTCCCTTGCTCTGTACCTGTCTTAGGAGGACAGGTGGTAAACCTGATGAACCAGCGTCTACAAACAGGCTTTACAGAGAATGAAGTCCTGCAGATATTCTGTGACACCTGTGAGGCTGTTGCCCGCCTACATCAGTGCAAAACTCCTATTATCCACCGGGACCTGAAGGTAACAGACTGACTTCTTGAGGAGTGGGTTTTTACTGAATATGTTTTTGTTTCTGTCTGTCCCAGGGATGGAGCATGTATTGAGGGGGAGGAAAGGCATATTGAGGGGTATGTAAGACATAGTTTCTAATTCTGGCCTCACATTGAAGTCAGGGAGAGAAAATACAAAGAAAAAGGACAATACAGGTACCAACTTTGCTAACTAACCTCCAGAATTTTTAAAATTTCAAATGCCCGAACTCATGTTTTTGGTTTTATTTAGGCATAATGTGTTAATTTAAGTAGCTTATAAATAATAGCGCTTATTTTTATTGCATGCAAACACACACACAGAGATACACAGAGTTATTGTTATTATTACTAAGGATTAAACTCAGAGCCATACACATGCTAGACAAGTGCTATATCACTGAATTATGTTCCCAGCCCTCTTTCATAGTTTGAAAAATCCATTAATTATTTTTAATAATCGGTCCTGATTACTATCACATTGTCCTGTGTCTTTCATAGTGAAGTCACATGATAGCTTTTTCACAATGGAATTGGCTTTTGATTAGGTTTTAGCTTAGCATTTTTTGAGCATTAATTGTGTGCTAAATATTCTACTGAACTTGATGCATGCTGTTTTCTTAGACCTTCTCCATTACATTTTACAGGTAAGGAAACTAAGTAGCAGAGAGACTGTGTGTCTTGCTCAAATTCTTATAAATAGGAAGTGTGTCAGAATTTAAATCCAGCTCTTTGTGTGAGATTTCATATTACCCTCTGCCTCTATACCACCATGTGGTGATGGCAACAGAACTGTAAGAACATAGGAAAATTGCTTGATATTGCCAAATGCAAGGATACTTTTTAGTATTTGTCTTAGTCTGCCTCTATCTGCAGCATTTAATGCCTTCAGTGCCCTCTCTTCCTAGACTTCTGAGGTAGCATGTGCTCTCTAGCCCTTGCTCAAGCTCCTTAGCTTGTTCCTCAGATCATTTGGCCTCTCTGAGCTGTGGTTCTGTCTTCTCTAAAATGTAGATAGCAGTGCCTATGTTGCACTGTGTGAGCCTGGGCTAGCCTGGGTGGGGTCACTTATTCACTGGCAGAACTGAGGAAAGTCCTGTTGCCCTGCCTAGCACAAGTGTGGCCTCTCTTTCCACTTCCACACAGATATAAACTCAAAGTGTTCCTAGTCCTTAGGCTGTTTATGTCCTGATAATAATCACAATGGAAGTACTGTGCTATGGAACAGTTCTCTTCAGATGTTATTGTAATGCTTCAATTACTTCCTCTCAGTTGTAATTTTCATTTCTTTGGAAAAAGATAAGGGTCATCATTGCAAACCATGGGGTCAAATCTGGGAAGATCATCTATTTGCAGCCTTACTGTTTGCCAGTGCAGAATCCTTACAAGAGAAACCATGACTGCTGCCCCCCCCCAGCTAATTAAGTCATCAGATCAGAATAGAGATAGAGGTTGTTTTTTTTTTTAATTTTTTAAAAATTTGTTTTGTTGTGTTAATTTGTGCTAGTTGTCTGTGCACTCAAGAAAGTTCAAGAAAGAGTTCAAGATGAACAAATATATTAAGATTGAAAACCCACAGCTGTCTTTTTTTTTTTTTTTTGCCTCAAAAGAGACTGTGTTTAAAAACACAGGTTTGAAGATGTTTTCTTCTAACCCTCCACATTTCTCAGAGGCATTAAATTCTCTGAAATGCCTCAGTGCCAAGCTGTTTGGAGTAATAGTGAGGCAAAGAGAGGCCAGTGAGAGGTAACTTTCTAGGCCCCTTAGCAAAGGCTCTGCGCAGAATTGAGTGACGGTTTTAGTAAGGCTGTTAGGCTGGGAAACAAGGTCTGCGGACTGGAACTTTCAAAAACCTGAAGTGTTGAACACCAGTGGTGTTACGATTTGGATGTGAAGTGTCACCCACAGGCTCGTGTTCTGAATGCCTTTTCCCCAGCTGGTAGGGCCTTTAGGAGGTTGGACTTGGCTGTAAGAAGTGGATCCCTAGGAGTGGGCCTTTTAGCAGGTATAGCCTGGGCCTGGTTTTAACTGCTCTCTGTGTCCTGGTTAGTCCACTGTGATGTGATGTGTGCTACCATGCCTTCCCCTCTGGATGAATTAAAGTAGTGAACCCAAATAAATCTTCTCTCCCTTCAGATACAAAGGTGACCAATATAAATGGCAACCAGTCACAGGCTTGAGTCCTCGGGGCTTTCTCCAAGCAAGTGGCTGTTCAGAGTGTGTGTGTAAATGCTAGTCGGTTCTCTCCCTGCTAATCTCTTTTGGCTTGTTACCTTCCCCTACTCTTTCCCATTGCCATTTGCCCTTGCTCGGACCTATTCCTCTTTCCACGTCCTGCCCTCATTGTCTGCTTTCTTTTATTTTTTCTCTCTGCAAAGCTGCCTATCCTAAAATGGTTGTATTCTTGAGCTCCTAAAGTAAAAAAATCCCAAAAGCCTACTAAGTAGTCTTCCTCAGTCTCTTTGTCTGTACTCGGCTCCCTTCCTTCTCTCTTACCAGCCTGAAGTGTCCATGCTCATTAACTTCATGCTACATATCAGCCTGGTGGCTGAGGATGGTCTCTGAACCAGGTAGCCTGTTGTTAAATCCTACACAACCAGCCTGACCTCAGGAAAATTGAGTACTTGACTGGTTTATCTTTTTCCATCTCTTAAGTGGGGCAGCAAAGCTTAGTAAAGATTATGTGGCTACTGTAAGTAAAAGTGTCTGGCATATGGTACTGAGTCCAGTATTGGGAACAATGTCTTTCCGGCCTCAATTCTTTATTCCTGTGCCTAGTTTGCCTCTTAAATCTGTTACCTCTTCCAACGCCACACACATCTCATCTCCCCAGAAGTGACAGCACTGCTCTCTAATACCCCTGTCTCACATTGCAGATTTAGCATTGTGCAGGCCCAGTCGCATGACCTTGTTCTTCGTGTGCATCAAACCCCTCAGGTGCATGCCCATCTCCAGGCCTTGCTGCAGCTTCTTGCTCAGAATGTTCTGTTCCTAAATGGCCCATGACTGTAGCTTCTCATTCTGATCTCCTTGTTTGAGAGGCCTTCCAGGATTTTCATTTGAAGTGGCATTCCTTTTCAGTTTACCTATATTTAATCAGCAGGGATTTTTTTCATAGTACTTTTAATACCAGACAGCTATAAATATTTTCTTATTCTCACTTGGACTTTGAGCTCCAGAAGAGATTGGATTTTGTTTTTCTACATCTGTATCCCTGGACCCAGAAGAGTACTTGACATATTGTAGGCATTCAAACATGTTTCTTTCACATGTGAATGGAAGTAATATCTTATATTTGTCAGGGAACTTACAGTTTATTTTGAAATATATTCCCTTACTTGAAACAGTGACAGAAATGTTATCAGCCCCACTTTGCAGATAAGAAACAAGCCAAAAGAGATTTGCAGATTTAACTAAGATCAAACATCAAAAATACTCTTGAAGTCTTCCACCCTGAGTCCAGTGTCGTTGTTGAGTGCTGTGGTGGTAGTGATGACGGAGAGTAACCAACAGTGGTTAGGCTGGCCCAGGCAGTTTTCACAGGACACTGTGAGAAGGGACAGAGAATGCAGTTGTGCCACAATCAATTTTACCTCCATAGTTTCTGACCCTTCCTTCAAGTGGGCAAAGTAGCTGGAACACACAGTGCCATTCTTTTCAGGCCAGCAGTGTGCCTCATCTTACTCTGCTTTGTCTGCTTAATTCCCCATTCCCAAGTAGTGATTTTTGATGCTGTAATTAGCATGCTATTTGTTATGAATTAACTGTGCAGTTTTCTAGATAGATGTTCATTCCATATGACAAGTACAGAATCTGACTTGGAAAGGGAGACATAAACTAGGAGGAGCATGATTTCACATAGGTCCTGTAAAGTGTGTGAGGCTGAGCAAATGATTTCACAGAGTTTAAGAATGTCTGCTGAAGTACTGCACTGAAATGGGATCTGTGAGGGATTCATAGACTAATACACCTTCTGACCCAAGGAAAACATAAATATGTCAGTAGTCAGCTCCAAATCCGTAGAAGAATTCTGAGTCATCCTCCAGATCAAACATTGGCAAACTTTACCAGCAGAAAGGCAGATAGAAATGATTTGGGCATGCTAGTAATATAGTCTCATTGAATTGCTCAACTCTTCTATTGGAGAAGAAGTAGCCAGATTTCATTGTGTTAGCCAGATTTCATTGCTGTGACAAAGTACCTAAGAAAAACAAAGAAAAATATTTTGGTTTATAGTTAGGAGTTTTCTGTCTAGGGTCTTCTCATCCATTGCTTTGAGCCTGAGGCAAGGTGGAATAGCATGGTGGGTACATACTTTGGAAGCAGAATGAAACCAGAAAGGACTGGGAGCTAGACAGAACCTTTAAGGGTACATATGTAGTAATCCACTTCCTAAGAGCCCATTTTAGCTGTGAACTCATGTGTGGATCAGTTCATTAATGAAATCAATGCTTTCATGATCCAGTCACATGTAAGTGATTGGGTGTGCTAGCTGTGAACCAGGGAATCTTCTGATGGACATTTTATGTCCAAACTGCAGCATGTAGACTGCAGAATAAGTAACCTGTGGGCTTGATTAGGTTGGCCTGAAGGCCTTTCCAACCCCTCCTTTGGGTAGAAAATTGTACATATGTTTTAGAGTAGTGAAGGAAGGTTTTACCATTGAAGTTTTCATGAATTGCTGAGACTTGGCTAATGGAGAGCGAGCAGTGGAGTAAAGGTCAGATTAGACAAAACGAAGAAAGTGAAGGCAACCCTGAACATCAGCTAGGAATGATGGCTGACTTCTTGTTGACTTGAGTTCCATTCTAGGTAATTCTGAATATAAAGAGTTAAGAAAGTCTGCCCATAAGCTTCACATGTCCTCACAATCCCTACCACAGCTCAGAGCTGGAGGTGGTCGTGGGGTCTTGAGTGATCTGCTTCTGTCTTTCCTGCCCTGGTAGTAATGGAGTTGTATGTCTTTTCCTAGAGTTACATGGCTTAGGCTCACTTCAAGCTCTATTGCTTACTAGCCATGTTACAGTACTGACCGAATTACCATGAGCCTCACTTTGTCCAGCTGCATTATGGGAATCATAATCCATAAATTGTGCTGAGTAAAGTAATACTGGCAGTAGCTACTGCTCATCAAATGATGTCTGTTATTTACGATTGTTACTTTGTTGTCATTGTTATTTTGAATTCTTCAAGTGAGTTTATGCTTAGTATAGCTTGACTGTTTCTTTGTGTAAATAGATAAAATTGGTGAGTTTTTGTTTTTTTTTTAAGATAGAAATAGTAGAAACACTTGTCTGCCTTAACCTTAATCTCTGGGGAACAAATCTATCACAGTCATTCACAATTTGTAATTCTATGGTGAAGAATTCTTCATCCTGAGAACCTATCTACTTAGTAGGTTCATGGCCATCAGTGTCACCTTTCCATAACTCCAGGTTAGTACTGCAGGTGAAATGCTGCTAGCACGACCATTCTGATTCTCTCTAGCAGAACAACAGATTTTTAAAGACTTTCTACAGGTGAAGGTCAAAAGGACACAACTTAAAAACAACATTAAAATTCTTCATGGTAGCACCAAATATGAAGTTCAGTAGGAAACAATCTTCAGTCAGCTTGCAGCAAAGATTTTAAATCATTAGAATTAGCAAATATAGACTAAAACTATACTTAATTCAGGTTTTAGAAGAATTAAGAGAAAATTTTATAACAAAGGGAACAAGAGGATTTCTACTCAGTCAGATATTTTTAAAGACCCAGTAGGGGCTTGGGTGTTTGGCTCCTGTCTTGACTGGAGAATGAGCAGACCTTGAATGTGTGGGTGCCCAGCCAGATTATTAAGTGTGATTTGTTTTGTTTTGCTTTTTATTCTATTCAACAGTGTCTGTACCAAAAATCTAGCAGAGTTGGGCAAATTCCAGATTCCAGCTGTGACTGAGAGATGTTTATCTTTGAGGAGCTTATAATCTTCTTGCCTTTGTTTTTCCAAGGTGATCTATCTGTGGGGGCTGAAGAAAAAGCCCAGAGAGTCTACAGTCTTAAGGGCTGAGCAAGGTTTTTGGGTTTTGTCTGCCATTTTGTTGCCATGCGTAGCTAGGTCTGTCTTCACCCATGCCAGTCAGCTCATTCCTCACAACAGGAGCTAGCCAGTGCATCTTGACAGTGTTGTGCTCAGTATTTTTTCTCTTAATCCCAGCACTCGGAAGGCAGAGGCAGGCAGATCTCTGTGAGTTTCAGGCCTGGTCTATAGAGAGAGTTCCGGGGCAACTAGGACTACACACAGAACCTCTTACTTTAAAACTAAAACAACAACAACAAAAATTGGAATTAAAATTTTTGTTTGGCGTGTATTGTCTGTATGTCTGTTCACAATGTGAATGTTTGATGCCTACTGAGGCCAGCAAAAGGCGCTGGATCCCCTGGAACTGGAGTTAGATAGTTGTGAGCACCGTAGTTGTGCTGGGAATTGAACCTGGGTCATCTTTAAGAGTAGTGAGTTTTCTTAACTACTGAGCCATCTCTCCAACTTGTGCCCATTGTTTTGGAGTTCTTTTCACTGGCATAAGGGTTTCTGTAGGTCTTGGTTCTTATAAGCTCCACTAAGCTAAAAACTCTTAGTCCCTTAAGACTTCCTTTGTTTGAAAGTTCAAACAAACAAACAAAGCCCCAAACCCTCAAATAAAATTCTAATAGAGAAACTGCTCATTTATTACTAGGCATTTTGTCACTTTGAGAAGTAACTAATACGAAAGCATCAGTTCTGAAGGTTTTAACCCAATGATTAAATAAAGACATCGTACCCACTTAAGTGAAGTAATTTATAGCATGGAGAATGAAACACCGAAGAAAAATGGGGAAATGGTATTTTTCTGAGTTGGGTCCTGGGGAGGCTTCCAAAAGGAGGTGGCCTTTGTTACTTGGGTTTGAAAGGCAAATGATGATTTGATAGCTGGGTAAGAGGCTGGGATCATGGCAAACATGCTGAACTGAAAGTAGAGCAGGAGTTGAAAGTATGCTCATAGTTACTGCAGAGGTGAGGGATGTAACCAGCTGTAGCTGGTTTTCCCAAAAGTGCAGTGCCCTCTGTCTGTCTCTGCCTGCATTTTACCCTCTTCCTCTCTGTGTCTTTTGCTTCTGTTGGGGTGAGTCCTGTTAAGATACATGGTGAGAAATAACTTCTCTATACACACTAATAAGATTGTTAAAATGAAACATTGTGTTATGTGACTATGAAACTAGCTTTTCCCATTACTAAGTGGCATCTTGGATTGGGTGGTTTGGGAATGTTTTTCAGGTTGAAAATATCCTCTTGCATGACCGAGGCCACTATGTCTTGTGTGACTTTGGAAGTGCCACCAACAAATTCCAGAACCCACAGGCCGAGGGAGTCAATGCTGTAGAAGATGAAATTAAGAAGTAAGCTTTTTCTCCTTTCCTGGAGTTTTCTCTCTTTCCGCTTATGGAGGACACAGAGTGAGAAGAGCATGATGCTGGCTGTTACCCTTTTCCCTGATGCTCACTATTGGGTTGTTTGATTGTGTCTGAAGGCTGAGGAGGGAAAACTGGCCCGTGGACTGACAGAAGACTCTTAAACCTTTCTCAGTGCTCCTGTGGTCATTATACACACATATTTTAATTTACATAAAAAGATGAGTGGTAGTTGGAGAGGGTGGGGAAGGTGTGGTATATCCCCGTATCCCCAGCAACTCTGGAGCTAAGGCAAGAGATTGTATGTTCAAGGCTGGCATGGGCTAAATAGCAAGACCTTGTCTCGAAAACTAAAGCCTAAATGGTGATATGTGCTCATTGAAGTGCCATGATATTTCCAAGAGAAATTGTGGCATTCTGAATCAGACAGATGTGGGTTTTTTACTGAACTCAAATTGCTGCCTTCTTTTTCATGAAGAACTCAACCATGCTCTAGTGGAATTTATGGTAGACAGAGCTACAGAAACCTCTACTGTTATTGAATGAGGAACTTGATGGGAGTCTCTTTAGGTTTTTGATTCCACTGCGAACCTCATGCCCACAATGTTGGGTTTTGCCAGGTACAATACACTCACTATGTCGTCTAGTAAATCAGCTGTCCATCATGTCCTTGCAGATGGTGAGCCTCTGTCCCATTTGTGTATCACTCACATGACCATGCCTGAAGCGTGACCTCTTCTGGTCCAAAGAAATCCTCCTGGGGCCAGATACCAGAGCAGCATAGTTGAGTGTTTAGCAACAGCAAGATATTCACTTAGGACAAGTACCTACACTACTGTTTTTTCGAGTCAAAGATAAGAACATTGTAGTTTTTGTCCCAAAGAACCCATAATTATGGTGCTGGAACGATGACACAGTATATAAAATGTTTGCCATGCGAATGTGAGGACCGGAGTTTGGATCCTTAGCACTCATAGAAAAGCCTGGTAGGCACAATGGCCTGTCTGTAATCCCAGCCCTTTTTCATGAGGTGGAGACAGGTACTCCTGGAGCAAGCTGGATAGCTAGCCTCATATCAGCAAGTCTCAAGACATAAAGTTGAAAGCAATGGAGGAAGACACTCAATATCAACTTGTTCTCCACACACATAGGCACACATGTAAACATGCACATTACATACATTACCCTCCCCTAGAAAAGAACTCATGAAATCCTCACCCCAGCTAGGGCTTACTTTCAGAATACCCTACTTATGTTTCATCTGTATCTCATGTTAAGGAATTACTATTTTAAAAACTAATCATCAAAACATAGTATTAAACTACAGCAACTTACAGGGAAAAAAAAATTATCATTTGAAGACCCAAAAAAGGGCTGCTTTTAGGACTTTATTTAGTGCATTTGTATCTGAACATCCCAGTACCCCAGTGTCCTAGGAGTAGAAGGTCTTCTGTAAGAGAATGTGATGACATTGTACCAAGGAGAATCTTTCATTTTCATCTGTGCTAATATTTAATTTGCTCTTCTGCAGATTGCTGCCAGAGAATTGGATTCTAGTAATGTGAAAAAAAATCGCTTCTCCTTGATTTTAATTATAACATTGATATATTTAACAAACCATGGATCTCTTGATTGTAGATATACAACGCTCTCCTACCGAGCCCCAGAAATGGTCAACTTGTACAGTGGCAAAATCATCACTACGAAGGCAGACATTTGGGTATGTGTCAGCTAAACCATCCACACCCTGTATGTCAGCAGACCTTGACCAGACTCCTGAGCTTAACTAGCCAGGGGCGAGCACACAGTGTTGCCCACTGTTGATGACCATCTTTTTATTTTATTTTATTCTTACTATTTTATGTGTATGTATGTTTGTCTGCTTGTGCCTGTGTACCATGTGTGCACAGTGTCCTCAGAAGACAATGTTGGATCCCCTGGACCTGATGTTACAGATAGTTGTGAGCCACCATGTAGGTGGTGGATATGGAATTTGGGTCTTCTGGAAGAGCAGCCAGTGCTCTTATCCACTGAGCCATCACTTCAGCCTCCTTGATGCTGATCTTGATTTGAGGGGACAGACATTGCATTTTGGAAAGTGGGGTAAAAATAAATAAACAAGAACAAGAACCAAAAACAAAACCCTGCTTGCATGTTGTTCCAGTGCTTTTAATTTGTGTGGTATACTTCTAAAGAATAAACCAGATGAAATAGTCTTTTCTAATCATAGATAAAAAGTATAACTTGGATGCTAGATTGTCACTCCGGGTTCTAAATTCAAGTATTGCATAGGTAATGACATTATGTGGGGTTTGTTTCTGCTGGGAAATGTGGCTGCTACGGGTTTCTCTGAGCAGGTAACTGGCTTTACAGCAAATAAACCATGAGTTGCAATCTGCTTTCTTATTTTTTAGGCTCTTGGTTGTTTGTTGTATAAATTATGCTACTTCACTTTGCCATTTGGGGAGAGCCAGGTGGCAATTTGTGATGGAAGCTTCACAATTCCCGATAACTCTCGATATTCTCAAGACATGCACTGCCTTATTAGTAAGTATTTCAGGTTTCCAGTTTCATGTTTGTATTTCTAATCCCCAGGAGTGGGTTGGAGGATAAAGAGGTTAACTTGTGGGAACAAGCTTGAGTGCCATAATAAAAAAATCATTTGATGCTGTTGGGGACAGTGATAACATGGCAGTGTTCACTTAGAGAAGTTGGTCTTTTTGCTGGAAAACTAAACTCTGCTTCGTGATGAGCCAGCCACACAAATGGGAATGACAGTTTTGTTCTGATCAGCATGATGCTGCTGTGTTCTGCTGCAGTCTATGGGAGAGCTCAGAGTCCAGCTGACTTACATCAAGGGATAAGAATTTCATCTTTGCAAAGCTGGAAGCAGCTCAAGTGAGCATGATTGCGGTACTGCAATGAATGTGTAATTAAGACCATATAACTCCATGGAGCCAGGTTTTTCCTCTTATTTAGGTTATCACTGGATTTTACAACAAGCATCTAAATTGAGTGTTTTGTTTAAAATTCTGAAGATTTTCATTTCTTTGTGTTATCGTAGACAGCATATGTACTAACATCCATTAACCAGATGGCAGAAAAGTAATCTTTGTACCCAGAACCTGTACTAAAATGCTAAGAAACAGATTTTATTCTTTCTTTCTTTCTTTCTTTCTTGTTTTTGTTTTGTTTTGTTTTTCAAGACAGGGTTTCTCTGTGTAGCATCTCTGGCTGTCCTGGAGCTCACTTTGTAGACCAGGCCAGCCTCGAACTCACTGAGATCTGCCTGCCTCTGCCTCCCAAGTGCTGGGATTAAAGGCATGCACCACCAGGCCTGGCAAAACAGATTAAAAAAAAAAAGTCATTTTTAAAAATGCTGGTCAAGACATTTAGCAGTCAAGATTAAAAATGCATCATAGACCATAAATCCTGAGCTATCCAGTTTGAGAGACAGACAAGTGAGGTAGAACCTTGACCTGTGTTAAGACCTACTTATACCTCACCTAATTCTCAAAACCTGTAGGTTTGGTAGACCTGCATTTATTCATTCATTTGTTTGTTTAATTTGAGATAGTGTCTCATTATGTAGCTCTGACTGTCCTGGAACTTACTATGTAGACCAGACTTGGCCTCAAACTCACAGAGATTTGCCTGCCTCCTGCCTCCTGAGTTTCTGGGATTAAAGGTATTCACTTGGCATAACCTGTAGGTTTTAAGAGTCATTGTCCCTATTACCCACAAGAGGAAACAGGATAATTTCCTGAAGTTCATAATTCTGGAGGTTCCACAACCACCCTTTCCATTGCTTCAGTTGTCAATGAGCAGAAAGATGGGGTGTTTGTAGGATAGGAATGTGAACCTTGAGGACTGTCAGGTTGTTTGCAGAGTCAAAGCAGTGTGTCTGTCCCAGGACTGCAGGTGTGGAAGGAAATGGGAGAGAAGAGCCAGCTTTTTTTTTTCTTTTCTACTTTTCCTTTCTATTATCTGTAACAGTGAATTCATGTTGGAAAAACAGCTCTTTATGAATGACTGCAGTACTGACCCCTTTTCTAGACCCTATTTAGTGTGCAAACTATTTGAAGATTCTAAACTTGTAGGCCTCAAATTAAGCACCTTGTCGCCTCCCCAATTCCTTTCCCCATACTGCCTTTTGTTCACTTTCTTTTGGTGGTATTGCCATCCACACCTGGATCGATAACATAGATGATTTTCTTTGGGTCTGAAAGAGCAAGAAAGAAGGAAGGAGCTGACCCAAGCTGTATTGATTCTCTTTAATGACTTGTCTTGATTCCCCTCGTTTTCACTAAAGAATGTACAGACTCAGCTGGGCAGTGGTGGTGCACACCTTTAATCCCAGCAGTCAGGAGGCAGAGGCAGGTGGATCTCTGTGAGTTCAGACCAGCCTGGTCTATGAGAGCTAGTTCCAGGACAGGCTCCAAAGCTACAGTGAAACCTGGTCTCGAAAAACCAAAAAAAAAAAAAAAAAAAAGAATGCACAGACTATGGTAGATCATGACCTGGTACATTGCCCCAGCTTCTCTACTTTCTCTTCATTCTTCCAGTACATCTCTATCATGGATTATTCCTAGAAGATATCACCTTTTCATGTCCCATTCAGTAAACTTGAGTGGCTTGCTAATGGTTCCACAATTAGGTCCTGAGTCTAAGCATGGTGTTTAGGGTCCTTTATATTATTTTTCTGTCCCACCCAGACATTTTTCTTCTCACCTGGACTGATGTTTTCTTTGTTCTTCCATGACTAATTTTCATTCTGTCTCTTTGGCACAGCCATTTGAGGCCTCAACCTCACAGATCTTTTCTGAACTTAGTGCCTCATATAGTAAACTGTCTTGACTCATTTTGCATGTATTTACACATGTGCCTGTATCTTCTCAAAGATTTCTCCTGTGTCAGAGACACTTGAAAGTCCTGGAAATAGACAATCTATAGAGCTTAGTATGTTAACTTGTTAATTTTTTTCAAACTAAAAACTAACTTATATCTCCAACAAGAGTAGTAAGTAAATTCATGAGTTTGTTTTTTATTTTTTTTTTTTTGGTTTTTCGAGACAGGGTTTCTCTGTGGTTTTGGAGCCTGTCCTGGAACTAGCTTTTGTAGACCAGGCTGGTCTCGAACTCACAAAGATCCGCCTGCCTCTGCCTCCCAAGTGCTGGGATTAAAGGCGTGCGCCACCACCGCCCGGCAACAGTCATTTTCTTAACAGAGGAAATGAGCTAGGAAACCATATGCAAGTCTATGGTACATTCTAAGTCTTAGAATATGAAGCTGTTAATTTTTATGTCAAGAGTGTGAGCCTCTGACATTCCAGGCACAGAATATGAACCTCAAGTAGCTTTGCTATAGCTCAAATAGTTTTCTTGTTTCCCTTTCTATGAAAAGGGCTAATTGAACTGTCTGACTTTTAAGAGAATTGAAACTTAAAACACAACCCAACTTTAATAGTACAAAAGTTCAGTTACCTAAAAGTTCAGTGATACAATAACTGTTAAGATATTATGGAATAAGTTCATGTATGTTTGTCTTAGGGTATATGTTGGAACCAGACCCTGACAAAAGGCCGGATATTTACCAGGTTTCCTACTTCTCATTTAAACTGCTCAAGAAAGAATGCCCAATTCCAAATGTACAGGTATGTGAATGGTGCTTTTTAAAAGGATTTACAATTTTTAAGGATGTTTTTATTTGTTCTTTGAGAATTTCATACATGTTTACACCATACTTGATCAGATCCATCCTAGTTCCTCCCTCTCACACCCCTAGGATCCTCTCTAACCCATCCCCCTCCAAAATCCATGTCATTTCCTTTTCTTTCTTTGCTTTTTTTTTTTCCCCTACTGAACAGATGTGGGACTGTCCACCTGAGCTCTGGCTACCTACTGTTGTTACATCTCCAAAGACAAATGTTTCTCCCTCAACAGGCATCAACTGCTCAACTCCTCAACAAGATGTAGTGAGGCCTCATGGGTCCCTAGAATTTTGATTAACTTGATCTTGGATAGGTCTTGTGCATATAACCACAGCTGCCATGAGCTCATGAAGATGGTGCTATTTAAAGGAAATAAACATCATCAAATTGTTGTTTTTGAGTCATTATGGGTGTTAATCTCTGGATTCAATGAATATTAATGTCCCTTTCTTTACCCATAATAGGACATTCAAGCAAATCAGTTACTATAAAGAGAATCCAATTTTCCCATGGAGTTTAATTATGAAACCGAGACGACTACACTGAACATTAACAACTCCTTCCCCAGTTGCCTGGGGACTGAGCTGAGCAGAGTGACCACAGTTCTCTGAGAGCAGCATGTCAGTTGTATGTCCCCAGAGTGATCAGTTGCCTTGTCTTCCTGAGGCAAGGCTCTGTTCACCTTGCTGCTCTTTCTCTCTTCACTGGCATTTTGCTTCCTTGATGCATCTCATGCATTTGTCTACCTTCCCTTTCCTCTCACAGGGAGATGGGAAATCCCTGTTTTGGTCCTGGAAGCCATATTAGGAGACCCTAAATGCTATTTCCATTAACCCCACTCAGACTGCTTGTTCCTTGTCTGGAGCGTTTATTTTTATTTTAGGTTTTAAAATAGGATTCTACTGTGTAGCCCAGACTGACTTTGATTTCATGATCCTGCCTCAGCCTCCCAAGTCTTGGGATTACCATCACTAGCCATTATACCTGCCCTCGGAATGCTTATTATTTATAAAGAAATCCATATGCTTTTTTTTTTTCTTTCAACTTTTTAGAACTCTCCCATTCCTGTAAAACTTCCTGAACCAGTGAAAGCCAGTGAGGCAGCTGTAAAAAAGACCCAGCCAAAGGCCAGGTAAGAAATGCCTTCAGGAGCTTGGTGCAAGCTGCAATGGAGGTGGTTGTTGCTGCCATTCTGTGTGGCTATGACTAGAGGCTACCCAGATCAGGAAAGGAATCTCGCTCGGCAGAAACTGTTCTTTGGGAATGCCAAGAAGGATATAATAAAATACTAAGATCTACATTTGAAAGGAATCAATAACCTCACAGATGTGTCCATTGCATGGCAGTAGATACAGGGGCTTTCTGGGATGAGACAATGCCAGAATTTAAGGGTTGCTGGTAGAGAATTATCTTAATCTGTTTCTGATTAGCCATGTTTACCCCCTAGTCTGACACATTCCTTTCTTTGGCTCCAGTCGTATTAGGAAAGTGCAGTTGAAATGAAAGTCCATGAACAGCAGACGATCTTTCTAGGTATTAGCTAATCTCACTGGATGGAGTCACTCAGGGTTTTCCAGAGCATTTGTCAAGAAAAGGCTAAGCAAATAAAGGAAGATAACCACGCAAGCCAGGAGAGTTTGGGACGGTGAAGTGGGTAGATATAACCCAGACCACTATACCGTTTCAGGAGGGATGGCTGAAGTCCTCATCCCAGAGTCAGCTAGCGGAAGCATTCCTTCCTATTGGAGTACCTGCACTTGGGTGTAGTTGGTAGTTTTTACTCTTTGGGCTCTTTGGGGGACCTGCCGCCCAGCTCCCAAATAATTATACATAGAATCTTATTCTTACTTATGAATGCCCGACCTTAGCTTGGCTTGCTGCTAGCCAGCTTTCCTTCTTGTCTATCTTTTGCCTCTGAGCTTTTACCTTTCTCTATTTCTGTGTATCTTTTCTTTCCTTTTTACTTTTGTATCCGGCTGTGTGGCTGCTGGCCCCTTCTTTTTTTTTTTGCTCCTCGATCTTCCTTTCCCAGATTTCTATTTATTTATTTTCTGTCTGTCAGTCCCATCTATCCTTTCTCCTGCCTTGCTATTTGTCGTTCAGCTCTTTATTAGACTAATAAGGTGTTTTAGAAGTCAAAGTAACACAGCTTCACAGAGTTAAACAAATGCAGCATAAAGGAATTCAACACATCTTTGCATCATTAAACAAATGTCCCATGGCACAAACAAATTTAACATCTTCGACTAACATCCCACAACCCTTAGGATTTAGGGCCTGAGAGCAGTCTATTTGGGAAAGAAGGTTTCATGCTATATTGGACTGGATTTTTATATTGGTTTTCACACCAGTCACAGGTCAGCGTCTGCCAGACACATTTACATGGATTCCAAATGAACAATTCTGAGGGTGACTAGGAGGTTCTCTGCCCCTCCTTTTCCTATTGTTCTTCCAATGGCAAAGGAATGCTAGTAACATACTGTGTAAACAAAGACTCTGAATAACAATATGTAGTTTTTAAATATTTATTTGATTATTTATTTAAGTGTAAATGTACATGGGTAAGCGGATTTATATGCTTATGAGTGTAGGTGCACCTAGAGGTGAGAAGATAGTGGATCTCCTGGAACTGGAGTTACAGGAGTTGTGAGCCACCTAACATGAATCCTGAGAATTGAACTCTCAGGGCCTCTGCAAAAACTTTATGTGCTTTTATTCATTGAGCCATGACCAAACCAGTTTACAGAAGAAAGTATTTTATTCAGGCTTATGGTTCCAAAGGGAGAATGGCAGCAAGCAGCAGGCATAGTGGCTGGAACAAGATGCTGGGCTCTCACACCTTTTACTGCAAGCATGAAGCAGAAAGCAACTGCAAGGAAAGCAAGGCCCTAAGCTCTCAATACCTACCCCAGTGACATACTTCCTCTGTAAATAGCATGACCACTGGAAACCAAGTATTCAAATGTCTGAGACTATGGGGACATCTTAACCAGACTACCACAGCAAGTTTGGTAGTTCTGCTCCATGAAGCTCTAGGGTCCCAGGTTTATCACTTTGCCACCTTATTACATAACCATGACCTCATGGGTTAACGTGGCAGCATCCGTATTCAAAGCTACAAAATCAAGAAATAGTCAGAGACTATTATTATTCCTTAAGGTTTCTAGAAAGTGCCAGATAGTCATCTGCTCTATTCTTTTTTTTTGTTTGTTTGTTTTTTTTAAATTTATTTATTATATTATGTGTATAGCATTCCTTCCACGTGTGCCTGCAAGCCAGAAGGGGGCACCAGGTCTCATTATAGATGGTTGTAAGTCACCATGTGGTTGCTGGGAATTGAACTCAGGACCTCTGGAAGAGCAGTCAGTGCTCTTAACCTCTGAGCCATCTCTCCAGCCCTCATCTGCTCTATTCTGTGTACAGGCAGAGCTTGGCCATTTCAAGTTGCAAAAGAGGCTGTGCTATGTGGTCCTGTGCAACTCTGTGTCCAACTGAAAATTTATTGCTGTGGAAAAGAAAAGAGTCTGCATATTTGAAAAATGGTGTTCCTGTCACTCTCCCCAATTTTAAACTCTTTATTTTGGACTATTTGCTTATTTCTTCCATTTGTCTTACTATGTTTGTTCATCTGCATGCTTTTCACTGTAGGGAGATGCCCCTCCTTTTAAAAAGATTTATTTTTGTTTATGTCTGTGTTGTGTTATGTCCATGTGAGTACAGGTGCCCACAAAGGTCAGAAGAAGTCATAAGATCCCCTGGAGTTGGAATTATGGACTATTGTGAGTTACTCCATGTAGGTGCTGAACTCAGGTCGTGTGGAAGAGTAGCAAACACTCGTAACTATGGAGCCTTCTCTCCAGTCCCTAGAGAGCCCTTATGACAGCAAGTTTTAACCAAGTTTAAGTTCTCTGTGTCAAAAATCTCTGCCCCAACCATTTCCCAGAGTATATTCTGGAAATTCTGTGTTTGGTGAAAGAGTTCAATTATTTTTTGTATTGGAAATTTGTACATTATATTCTGGTCACCGGATCCCTCCCCCATCTCCCAGATTCTCTTCACCTCCCTACCCATCCAACTCTACACCTTCCTTTTCTTTCTTTCTTTAGAAAAAAAAAAATCCCAGCCAAAGAGAGGGAGAGAGTCAGTCAGTCAGCGGTGGTGGTACACACCTTTAATCCCAACACTTAGGAGGCAGGAGGATTGCTGTGAGTTTGAGACCAGTCTTTCAGGACAGCCAAGGACACAGAGAAACCCTATCGCAAAACAAAACAAAACAAACAAACAACAAAAAACAACAAAAACCCCAAAACAAATAAATAAAAGGAAAAATGATAAAAAAAAGGGGGGGGGGGAAACAAGGAAGCACAAGAAACGCATATATATATATATATATATATATATATATATATATATATATAGATGCACACACACAAAAAAACTCCAAACCCATAAAAACACAAAATTGGGAACCATAATTAATGTACAAGCAAAGACCAGTAAGATTAAAAATTATGCCAAAGAAAGCAATATGACACAAAAAAATGTAGAAAAACACCATTGAGTGTATTTTGTGTTGGTTATCTTCTGGGCCTTGGTACCTACCCTTAAGTGTGGTTTGTATATCCAGTGAGACTTTATTGGAGAAACCTAATTTTTCCTTTGTAAGTGGTTGTCAATTGGAGTTAGCTTCTTGGTAAGGGATGGGACAGCCTGTCCACTTTCCCATCTCAGTGCTAGAACTCCATCTATCTTGACCCTGTGTTTGTTGCTGTAGTTTTTGCTAGTTCCTATGCTCATCAGACCTGTTTTGTTTAAAGACACATTTCCTTGGTGCCCTTCATCCCCTTTGACTCTTATGATCTTTTTCCTTCCTTTTCTGTCTGGCTCCTGAGCCCTGAGGGGAGGGATTTGATGAAGACATCCTGTTTAGGACTGAATGTTGTAAATTTTCTGACTCTCTGCATAGTGTCCAGTTGTGGGTCTCTGTTATTTCCCATCTACTGCAGCAAGAGGAAGCTTCTCTGATGATGGCTGAGCAAGACACTGATATATAGATGTCGGCAGCAGTCATTTTATTGCTGTGTTCCTTTAGCAGAACAATAGTATTTGGTTTTCTCCTAGGCCCATGGCCTATCTAGTCTCAAGTTCTGGTCTCCTGTCAGGCATAGTTTCTGTCTTGTGGAGTGAGCCTTAAGTGTCATCAGAGAGTAGTTGTTTATTTCTACGGTGTTTGTGTCACTCTTATACAAGCGTAACATGCAGGCAGGTCATGATTGTAAACTGTGCGATGTCTAGCTGGGTTGATGGTCATGAGCTCCTTTAGTTTGTGCTTGTCTTAAAATATCCCTATTCGGGAATGGGGATTTGGCCTTCTAGGTAATGTACTTGGCAGAACCCATGTAAAAGCTGGATGTAGTAGGTCATGTGTCTGTAATCCTGACATGTCCCTACCAGGAGATGAAAGGCAGACATAGGAGAATTACAGGGAGCTGAGTTGACAGACCAGCTAGCCTGATGTATTCAGTACTGTACAAGAAAACCCTGTGTCACACTTGGTGGAATGGGAGAATCAACACTCAAAGTTGTTTTCTGACCTTCAGGTGTCCCTCACAGCTCATACACACCTCCCCTCATGTCTTTGAATTTCTACTGGTTTTTAGAAATTGCTTTGCTGAGTATGGTAATTTTGGTTGGTAATTATTTATTTTCAGAGTTTGAAATGTATCATTCTGTGCTTTCTTGGCTTTAAGGTTGCTGATAAGAGTTAAGATGTTATTTTATGTATTTGCCTTTGTAGGTGAGTTGACATTTAGGGACATGTTGATTAAGCAAATCTGAATGGTTTGAAGGAATGTTGAGGGTAAAATAACATGTGTTCTGTCTATCCTCTCTGTTTTCCCACATTTTAACAGCAATGTTGTTTTTCCTTTTCTAGACTGACAGATCCCATTCCCACCACAGAGACTTCAATTGCACCCCGCCAGAGGCCTAAGGCTGGGCAGACTCAGCCAAACCCAGGAATCCTTCCCATTCAGCCAGCCCTGACTCCTCGTAAAAGGGCCACTGTTCAGCCCCTACCTCAGGCTGCAGGTCAGTGCTTCTTGATGGTAGTATTAGAAGGCAACAACCTAAAGAATCATGGGCCGAGTTATCAGTGAATGTGTATATTCAGTGACTGCAAAATGAGGAACTTCTTTCTGTACTCGGGTGGATCTCCAAGACCTCTGAAGCCTGCATTTATTTTCTTATTGGTCCTTTGTTCCATCTACCCCATTCTATTTCTTTGTTTTATATATTTCTCCCTCCTTTAAAGAAACAAAGCTTACTTCTTTTTTGATAACTATAGAAGAATAGCATTTCATTTATGCTACATTTATTAGAGTATTTATAATCCTCTGTTCTAGTATTCTGTTATAATAAGAGAAGTGAGCTTTGTTTCAAACAAATGGGGATTGATCCAAAATAACAAGTCACAGAGCACAACTATCACATCCTTTACCAGGAACAATTTCTGATAATTTGGTGGCCATCTATATACATTCAGGCATCCCGATGCTAGTTGTGAAAGCTATTCATGAAATATCAAAGAATGCTTTTGCTGTGGGTATGCAAGCTGGTACAAAGACTACGTTTAGTGGCAATGGTCAGTTGTGTGTATATAAAGGAGACTAAGGGTGCTGACTACAGAACTAGTTGACTAAATGGGATGATGGGTAAGGGAAACCCCTCTAAGGAGACAAGTGTTGAATCTTATAATTCCACCTGGGTTTGAAATACTGAAAGCACATGATTTGGAAAAAATGGAAACCTATTTCAAATAGAATATCACAAATGGCATAATGGTGAAAAACAGACAAAGCTTGGGACAATGTCCCTGTGCCTACTATTTCTTAGGTGGCAAATCAGGAAGCCATTTTTGTTTGGTAGAGTTTTGAGCCCTTACATGGAGTTTGTTTTCATTGCAGGACCCAGCAGTCAACCTGGCCTTCTTGCCAGTGTTCCCCAACCTAAAGCCCAACCCACACCTAGTCAACCTCTTCAACAATCTCAGCCCAAGCAGTCACAGGCTCCATCTACCCCACAGCAGACATCTTCTACCCAGACCCAAGGTCTGCCTACCCAGGCCCAGGCCACTCCCCAGCACCAGCAGCAGCTCCTCCTCAAGCAGCAGCAACAGCAGCAGCAGCAGCCACAGCAGCAGGCAGCACCACAGCAGCCAACAGGCACCTTTTACCAGCAGCAGCAGCAACAGCAGCAGCAGCAGCAGCAGCAGCAGGCTCAGACGCAACAGGTGAGGAGGTCTATAGGATCCTTGCTTTGCATAGTGGAATTGTTTCTACTGGAAGACCTGCTAGATACATGCATCTTTCTTGGGAAGTGCTTGGGTAGCCGAGACCCGCTTATCAGTGCATCATCACTTCTCATAGATGTAGAAACTGAAGTACCAAGGTGCAAATTAATAACTCTCAGGCCTTTCAGTGTTGTCCTCAAGCTTTGGGGAGTTTACTCCTCTAGCTTAGTACCCCCAATGAAGGAGCTACTTTCTAAAGAGATACAGTGGAAAAAATAACAATGATATTCTATTAGCACACAATATGCAATAGTGTCAGGCTGTTTCAGATATTTAAGTTTTCTTGGTTAGATCAGGATCCAAACAAGGTCCATGTATCCCTTTTAGTTGGAATATATTATTTTCCATTATTTTTATGTGTTTTTTTCATTGCTGTATTTGTTATTAGCATTGAATGCCTTTATTTTATAATGATTGATTTCATTAAAAGACTGTATATATATGTGTATGAGTGTATGCATGTGTGTATATTTGAGTGCATACAATTGTGAGCACTTGGAGTCAAGAAGAGCAATTAGAGTTACAGGCATTTGTGGGACACTTGGCTTGTTATATGAGTGCTAGAATCTGAACTTTAGCAAGTGTTCTTAAACTCTGATCCAACTCTTTGGCCTCAAGGAGAGGTTTGTATATCTTTTATATTCTCTCTTATCTCCTTTGCTATGTCCTTTTTAAAGAAACTGGATTTTCTTTGAAATTTTGCATATTTGAATTTGACTTGGTTACCCTTTGGTGACATTTTGTATATTCCACCATCCACTAAGTAAAATGTCAATTTTTAAAATACATATTAAACATGTTTCATTTAGTGTGTGTGTGTGTGTGTGTGTGTGTGTGTGTGTGAGCTTGTGCACAGTGGCATGCTTGTGAAGTTCAAAGGACAACTCTCAGGAGTCTGTTCATTCTCTATCTATTATTGGGTTCCAGGGATAGAACCAGGTTTCCAGACTTGGCTGCAAATGTACTGAGTTCTTGAGCTCTCTCACCAGGCCTAAACCGGGGATGTCCACAGACATGCTCAGTGTAGGCACAGTTCGTTGTTCTTCCTGTTACATTCTACTGGGCAGCCAGTGCTGCTCTTCGCCATCAGTGTGCTTAGGTGTTTTCTGTTTCATTTGTTTTTTTCAATTTTCCTCTTTTGATTATCAACCATTGCTGATATTTCCCAAGTCCTTAAACCTACTTTGGATGGCAAAATGACAAGTAGATCATGGACATCAAACTCAGGTTATCAGGCTCTTGACAGCAGGTGCCTTTGCCCACTAAGCCATCTTACCAGCTATAAAGAGCTGCTTTTATCATCTGTGTAGCTACCCAGCATTATCCTCTAGCAGTTCCCCTTTTTTTCTTTTAAAAACAAAAACCTTGAATCTAATCTCTTTTGTTTAGATTTTTTTCTGTCCTTTATCCATAACAATTTGTAACCAACATGCTAAACAAAGACAAACATCCACAATCCACTTTTTGGGAATGTGGGCATAGTTTCTAGGCTACTTTCTGCTGATTGGGGTGCTGGTAATCTTATGGGGACCCAAAGAAAATTTAGGATTATGGTCAAGTCCTGTCTGGAGGGAGTATTCTGTGAGACTGGATCATCTCAGCCAGCAGTCTTGACGCTGTTCTGGATGTAGAACTCAGAGAAAACTGCAACAGAGGTCCGCTGAAATGTTGGATCATCTGGGTCATCTGTTCCCACTGGAAATTTTTTAGGGGAGTCTTCCTTGATCAAACCTTATTTTTCTTAACCCAGAATGAATCCACAGCCTCTCATTTCCTGTGGAAATAAAAACAAAACCTCATCTCCAAAGTAGCATATCTTTTGACTTAAATTTTAGAGTTAAGGCATTTTCAAAATATATAGGTTGGATTAATCCAGCAGCATTTATAATAAAATGTCTTTTAGTAGCTGTTGCTCCTTAGCAGTCAAGCAATTCAAAGACAACACAGTAACATACAATATCCACATTCTTTATGTATTTTTCATCTTTATGTGATTTTTCTCCCCTCTATTTCTTTCATTTTTATTTTTAATTTTTGCTTTTTTGAGAAAGGGTTTCTCTGTGTATCTTTGGCTTTCCTGGATCTCACTCTGTAGACGAGGCTGGCCTTGAACTCACAGAGATCTGCCTGCCTCTGCCTCCCAAATGCTGGGATTAAAGGGATGTGAACTTTCTCTATCCATTTTCTTTTCTCTCCCAAGCCTGTGTATATTCTTAAACACACTGAAAGCTATTTAGAATTCTTTTTTTTTTCCTGTCTGAATCTGTCTTTACTGTATATAGCTATCTTTTTCTAAGCATATGAGTCTTTAGTTTGCTAAGCAGCATGGCTAGGATTAAAGCTGTGGCTTTGGCACCTGGCTCTACTCATTCCTTAGCATTTTGAGAGCTTAGCTTCATGGCAGAGGTACAACAGGGGCTAGATTTATTGCCACAACTCTGTGCAGTTTTTAAGTCCATGCCACCACCAAAGAAACCTGATACCACTGCTCATAAACACCATTAAAGTATTTGGTGGTAGGCCTCTTTAAAGAGCTGTAAGAATTTTGCCACCAGTGCTGACTCAGGAAGCCTCTCTTAAAGGAGTTGTGCCTCTGCTTGGCTCTTGGAAACAGAGGTAACCAGAGAAAGGATGATTACCAATCAGCTGCACTTGACTTTGTTCTTGTCTGTCTAGAATCCTTTTTTTTTTTCTAAGCTTTCTTGGGCTTTATGTGGAAATTCTTCCCAAATGTTTGGATACCATTTGTAGGCAGAAGTTTCTGTCCTGCCTGATCCCTCAGCCATTCAGTCCCAAAGAAATACCTAGAGGCTCATATTAATTATAAACTGTTTGGCCTATTAGCTCAGACTTATTATTAAGTAGCTCTTACAACTTAAATTAACCCCCTTCTATTAATCTATGTATCACCACAAGGCTGTGGCTTACTGTTAAGGTTCTGGCACTTTTCTCCTTAGTGGCTTCATGGCATCTCTTTGACTCTACTCTTTTCTCTCTCTCTCTCTCTCTCTCTCTCTCTCTCTCTGTCTCTGTTCGGATTAAAAAATAGCTTTTTTCATCAACCAATAAAAGCAACACATATACAGAAGGACATCCCACATCAATTGTAATTTCATGGATTTGTATGTGTCACCATTTTAAAACATGCTCAGATTGCTCAAGTTATTTCAGATTGACTTCTAGATCCTTTGGATGTGACTCTAGTGGTTAATTATTATGTTTTTCCAGTGTAATGACTGTGCCAGGATCATTCTGCTATTAATTTAGAGTCATCCATTTCACTCAAGATCAGATTGTTTTTAATGGGAATGATAATTAGAAACCACAGTTGGCTTTAAAAATGACTGCTTGCTATTGAGCCATGTTGGTAATTGTTTCTTAGAAATGTATTTGTGTTATTAGAAAACATACATACAGATTTATACATCTAATTCAGAATCATAATTAAAAAGATTTTTGTTTAACTTCTTGGTTTTTGTTGTTTTTATCACCTAAAGTTATTTTGTTGCTATTAGTTGTGAGACAAAGTCTCATACAGTAGCCCCAACTGGGCTTGAAATTGTTGTAGTCATCCTGCCACAGCTTTCTGAGTTGAAGGATTACAAACATGCACCACCATGCTTAGCAACCTTAGAATATTCAGCACATTATTTTCAGTGGAGTAGTTGCTAATTGGATACATAGACTGTTGAATTTATTTCAATTTTGCTTTCTACATTTTGGGTCAGTTTTGTTTTATGAATGTATAAAATAATTAAATAGTTTTAAAGTTAGATCTATAAAATTCTGTCCTTTGATTCTTGCAAAGATATACTCCTAATTTCTATTTGCTTCTTTAGAGTGTCCCTGTGCTACTCTTAAGGACAGACCACAGCCCTCTGAGTCCCTGGTGGGTGGGTCTTGATTATTGCTGTTAACAAGCTCTTATACTCTTATGTGTTGTTTTTGCTGACCTTTTATACTAGTATTCACATCCAGGACTATCCCAGTTAACTCAGTAGCACTTTTGATGATTTTCTAAGACTTCACTTTTATATTAGCAGACTCTCATTTTGAGCTTTGTTAGTGTACCTAGCAAGTAGTGTAAAGCAGCCAAGATTAGAGAGACATAAATGAGGTGCTAGGAAGATGGGTGTAGGGTGCATTTTTATCCCCAGCTACTTGGGAAGCTGATAGTAAAAGGGTGGCTTGAACCCACAAGTTTTTGGAACAAGCCTTGGCAATGTAACAAGACTCTACATAAAGCATGTAGAGGAGAATCACTAGTGACAGGGTGTTTGAAGCTGCAGAATTTCATAAAGGGAGATCTGCTGGGAATAACTTTGGAAAGGTTTGGATAGGTGTTAGTCACTGGTTAACATTTCAGTTGCTCTTTCAGCAACATCACTAAGGCAGTCTGTTCATATAGGGAAGCATTTGGTTCTTGGCTGCTTCAGAATCCTTTAGAAGAAGGATTTCTTCTGCACTGAAGATACTTCCCTTGCTTCTGTTCACTCCAGGCCTTAGAGTCTCTTGAAAAATCTGGTTGCTTCCCTGCACCTATGCCTGGTAAACAGTCTGATGCAGTGGGAAGGCCCTGGCAGTACAAATGTTGCTGGTATGATTCTAATGCCCTGTGTCCTGTTCTTAACTACTTGGCCCAGCTTCCAAGCTTCTGCTGGGCCCTCCTTTTGACTTCAGTATTGGCGTTATAGTTATTGAGACATTAGCCTTTTGTGAATGTGACTCTGGGTGGGCTTGTATTCACCTCCTCATTTCTTGCCACTCTCCTGTTCAGTTTCAGGCAGGACATCCAGCAGCCCAGCAACCAGTCACTGCTCAGTTCCCTGTGGTCTCCCAGGGAGGCTCTCAGCAACAGCTGATACAGAACTTCTACCAGCAGCAGCAACAGCAGCAACTGATGACACAGCAGGCTGCTCTGCAGCAGAAGACTGCTGTGGTAGTACCACAGCCTCAGGCACAGCCAACCACAGCCCCACAGCCAGCTGCTGCTCAGGAGCCTTCGGTAAGAACCAGCAGGGGTTGGCCCAAGACTGAAGAGAGTATGTAGTGAGACAGGGGAAAGGGAAGGAAGAGGTAGCTGTAGACAGTTTCTGTTCCGCCCGATCATGCAGCCATTTAGTCCCAAAGAAACACACAGAGGCTTATATTAATTATAAACTGTTTTGCCTGTTAGCTAAGGCTTATTATTAACTAGCTCTTACAACTTAAGTTAACCCATAATTCTTGTATACATTTAGCCATTTGGCTTAGTACCTTTTTTCAGTGAGGCATTCTCATCTTGTTTCCTTTGTTAGTCTTCTGGTCTCCTTGCCTATACTTCCTGGCTGGCTACTGGCCAATCAGCTTTTTACTAGGCCAATGTGAGTGACAAATCTTTACAGTGTACAAGAGCATTTCCCGTTTCTTTCTTTTCAAAACAAGAACTCTGAATCTAATCTCCTTCATTTAGCTTTTTTCCTGACCTTTATCCATAACAACTTGTAACCAACATGCTAAACAAAGACAAACATCCACAATCCACTTTTTGGGAATGTGGGCATAGTTTTCCAGGGTACTTCCTGCTGATTGGGGTGCTGGTAATCTTATGGGGACCCAAAGAAGATTTAGGATTATGGTCAAGTCCTGTCTGGAGGGAGTATTCTGTGAGACTGGATCATCTCAGCCAGCAGTCTTGACGCTATTCTGGATGTAGAACTCAGAGAAAACTGCAACAGAGGTCCGCTGAAATGTTGGATCATCTGGGTCATCTGTTCCCACTGGAAATTTTTTAGGGGAGTCTTCCTTGATCAAACCTTATTTTTCTTAACCCAGAATGAATCCACAGCCTCTCATTTCCTGTGGAAATAAAAACAAAACCTCATCTCCAAAGTAGCATATCTTTTGACTTAAATTTTAGAGTTAAGGCATTTTCAAAATATATAGGTTGGATTAATACAACAGCATTTATAATCAAATGTCTTTTAGCAGCTGTTGTTCCTTCCTCAGCAGTCAAACAATTCAAAGACAACATAATAACATGCAGTGTCCAGGTTCTCTGTATATTTTCAATCTTTACATGGAAACTAAGCTTGGGCGAACAGGACCTGAGTGCACTAGTTTTTTTCTCCTGAACCCAGGTGGCTACTTTTGAGTCCACTCTTAAAAAGTGGCTAAAAAGCCTGAGGCAAACAGCTTCTTTGTAAATTTTTACCCCAAAAGTTGGGCGCCAACTGAAGTATGATTAATAAAAACTCAGAGACAGAAATTGGGGTTTAACCTCTCGAAGACCAGAAAAGCAAAGCAGCTAGTCACTGGCTCTTATTTTGATCTCAGTCCAAAAATGGTGATCCTGCCTCTAGGAATCCTCAGAATGAGACTGAGATTGAGAGCTATCTCTTCTTGTTTTATAATCCTCTCTAGTTCTGGGATTAAGGGCGTGCATCACTACTCCTGGTTTCTGTGGCGAGCTATTGTGATTAAAGTTGTGTGTTATTGCTGCCAGGTCTATCAGGCTGTCTTACTTTTCTAGTCCTTAGGCAAACTTTACTCATTAAAATACAAATGAAATACTCCACACTTCCCTTCTCCTTCCCAGCATTCTCAATTTGATTTTCCTGCCTAACTTTATCCTGTTCAACTTATAGGCTAGTCAGCTCATTTATTAAATCAATCACAGTGACAAATCTTCACAGTATACAAAGGGATTATTCCACAGCACCTTTGGGGTCCATTTTATTTCAATCCACCATGCCTGTATTGTATACTCAGTTTTTTAATGACAGTAGTGGAAACTTCTGTTGTTACCAAAAGGCATTTTGAACAAGTAGCCAGTAGTGTTTATATATCTAGCTCTTCTCATTTTCAAGGCGGCCCAACAACTAAACTAATGAAGAGAAGTGAGAAACCATCTTTCTGGGGATTCATTTCTAGCAGAGAACTTGCAGCCCATTCTAAACCAGAAGACTTATTTATATTCCTTCAAAAGGAAACAGTGCTATAGGTAGATTGTGTTCTTTCTGTCTCTGCTTAGTGAGTGCTCAGTGCTTTACCTGTTTGTTTCTGTAAAAAACTCAGTCTTTTACAGGAATATGGTAGACAGCCATTGTTTGTACTTTTGAGCTAAAATAAATTTCCCATTGATAATAGAAAAAGGTTTTAAAAATATTGCATGAAATAGCTATAGGGGGTCTTATGTACCTCGTTTAATCTCCTCATTTTGTGGAATTATAAACTGAGATCCAAACTAGAAAGTTACTGCCCAAGACAAACAGAAGGATTGAACTAGAGCTGGGGCAAGGATCAGGAAGTCTGACTTGTGTTGTATCTCCTCAAGGGTGTTGAGATGATCCACTGGGGGCTGAAGGTACTTCTTAAAAGGTTCTTCTCTGATTTTCTTAGACAAAGTGTCTACTGCCTTGGGAGTGAATCCTCAGCCTTCTCATGAGTCCTAGATGGGCCAACACTGAGCTCTGTGTTCTGTGTGGTGAGCATAGGGACACAAACTAAAATCTGTGCAGGCCTATGAAAAAATGTCCACAAGGTAGTGTTGACACAGCTTGCTACTCCTGCAGAAGACTCAACTTCAGTTCCCAGCACTCATGTTGGGCAACTAACAGCTATATGAAACTTAAACTCCAAAAAGGACTTCCTCAGGCACCTGAATTCATAGGCAGACATGCGCATGCATTTACACACACACACACACACACACACACACACACACAATTAAAATACTTTTAAAAAATGAAGTCTCTGACAAAATAGACATCAAACTCAGCCTTCTTACTTTCTGTGGTGTACCCCTACCTCCTGCCCCTTTTAAAACCTTTTATCATAGTGTATGTTTGAGACTGTATCTCACTCTGTAGTCTAGGGTTGCTTGGAACTTGCTGTGTAGCCCAGTTTGGCCTTGGATTCGGATATCTACCTGTCTACACCTCCCAAACACAGATTAAAGGTACACTTTACTCACCATAGTTTCTGGACTCTTGTGCCCCTTTCTAATTCTGTCTTTGGAGGAAGAGACATTGTGATGTAGAAGATCCCCAGCCATAGTTGGCTTCTGTGGCCAAGTGGTTGACCTGTTAGCCTCAGTGGACTAAAGATCCTCTTCTGTCTCTGAAGTTAAGGTTCTGGTATTTGTTCTGTATGGTCTGTTTCCATTTGTTTTCTTTGATTTCCAATGTCCATAAAACCTGCCCTCTGGGGTTGCTATCAGAAATCAACACACAGAATTAAATTATTTCATAGGCAGTTTTACAGTGAAATAATTGTATATGAAATTTTACCTTTGGGCTGCCACGTGCTCCATGAAGTCAAGTGTAGAATTTTCTACATGTGGCATCATGTCAGTGCTCAAAATGTCGGTTTTTAGAGCCTTTAGGATTTCAGGTTTTCAGATTAGATCCACTCGTGCTGTCTTGGAGATGTGGCTCAGTGGTCCATTGCTTACCTGGGAATCCTCCCAGTGGAGGCATCTGTTATGTATATTGCAACTGAAAGACAGGTAAGAAAAGAGACAGTGTTCTCTCAATAGTGCGGATGCCCCTTCACAGAGTGCATCGTGACTGTGAAGTACCCTTTTGCAGTGAGATCAGCCAGTTCACAGCTGACCCTCTTGGATACTGACATTTAGAAGGCCTTTCTTATGTAGCTCTAGGCCCCCAAAGGAAGATGCACTGGCAGCACTTTGACCTTCACAGAGCTCCATGCTCCCTGGTGGGCTGTCACCCTTCCTGCCTTAGTCTGGTTGGCAGTAGAACCTTATAGTTGTGCTGTCATTCATCTTGTTAATGGGGTGATTGGCATACAGACACAGGAAGATAGTGAGCCTCAAAAAGCATTCCAGCTCCCAGGGACAACATGAGGATGCTGTAGGCATCCTGACCCATTGAACTTTTATGTCATGGTTTCTTAAATTCTGGATGTCTGTCTTCAGAGACACAACGTAGGAGCTGAGCTTCAATGTGGAGAGGTAGCTTTCTCTTGAGTGGAGGGATTTGAGGGAAGGGATAGTTAAGTCCCTGAGGCACTCAGTATCCAGACTTTTTATTTCTAGATTGGCAGAACTAAGAAGGGCTTAGGTGGCTTTCTGAATGCTTTTGAAATTATTTTGCTTGATACAGATGGCTTGTGCTAAGGACCACTTACATAGTTGTTGTAATATGAGCGGCGGGGCTGCGTCCCCAGCACCCCGTCCGCCTGGCTAGCTAATGCCCCGAAATAACAACACACAAACTGTATTCATTTAAACACTGCTTGGCCCATTTTTATCTAGTCTCTTCTAGGCTAATTCTCACATATTAATTTAGCCCATTTCTAATCATCTATGTAGCACCGCTAGGTGCGCTTACCGGGAAGATTCTAGCCTATGTCCATCCTGGGTCGGAGTTCATTGCGTCTGCCTCAGAGAGCAGAGCTCTCACGTCCACCCGGGAGAGGGGAGCATCGCATCTCTCTGAGCTCACTTCCTCTTCCTCCCAGCATTCTGTTCTGTTTACTCTTCCCACCTATGTTTTAACCTATCAGGGCCAAGCAGTTTCTTTATTGCTTAACCAATGAAATCAACAGATTGATATATGACACTCCCACATCACATAGTCACAACTACATTGCCACCTGTTTGTTGTTCTGTGAACCACTTCTCAAGAGTCCGTCTGTGAACCTAGCCATCATTAAGGCTTTTCTTCTGTCTCACTCTTTTTTCCACTGATCTTCAGTGCCATGTCTCAAGGAAGATTGGAGCAAGTAAATTCCACTACACCAGTGCTGCACTTTTGATGTGGGGTTGAAACAGAAAAATAGGTTCTTGTGAATCCATCTCATCAGTGGAATGAAGGTCTTTAATAATATAAAACAAGAGCTACCTTGCTTCAGTCTCACGGCGATTGTTTGATTCACGATTCACTTACTTAGTGTAGGAGGGAGTCCATAACTCTAAGCAGAAACTGTCGTGCTCCAAACCATCTTGGCTGGAGTATATCTTCTCTTCTAGCTGTAATAGAGTGTAGAATCTATTACCTGCCCCATGGAAGCATTCTTGATGAAGTGCTATTTGTCCTCAGAAGTAGGAAGTCCTTTAAGATACCTTCTAGATCTTTAGGGCAGGGAATAGCATATGTAGTCTTAGGCTGGTAGCTCCATCACATCTGGTTAACTTGTATATTGAAGCTAATGGAAACTGGATGTGAATAAGAACCAGGCACTTCCTTGGTGATATCTACCTCCATTGCAGCTCAGATGGTTGGTGCCTTGGTTTTCTTTCTGGTACTGTTGATAACCTTGGCCATTCAAATCTTATGAGTAAATGAGTTTTTATTATACATGGTTATTAATTTGTTTTTCTTTCCTATTTCTTCCTCCTTTTTTCTTTTTTGTTTGTTCATAATGAAGCTTTGCATTTCTCTTTCTCTCGCAGATTCAAGCTCCACCAAGACAACAGCCAAAGGTTCAGACAACTCCACCTCCAACTATCCAGGGTCAGAAAGTTGGATCTCTCACTCCTCCATCATCCCCTAAAACCCAGCGTGCTGGGCACAGGCGGATCCTCAGTGATGTAACCCACAGTGCAGTCTTTGGGGTTCCTGCCAGCAAATCAACCCAGCTGCTCCAGGCAGCTGCAGCTGAGGCCAGTCTCAATAAATCTAAGTACGTTTGTTCTTACCATGTGGGCAAGGTCTGCTCTGGGTCACTACTGTATGATTCTTTCCATAAGCTTGTGGAGGTGTGGTTGTGTGCTTATGCCAGTGCATGGCTGTATTTAGTAAGAGACTATGAACTGGCCCACAATGTGTGCATTGTACAGATACTGTCTTTTCAGTTTCCATTCTCCCATCTGTTCTATGCTCCGTAGAGAGTGTTTTCTAAACCCTTTGACCAAGTCTCTGTACTGACAATTTTTTATTGGACCCCCAAAATTTGGAGGGTGGCTACCTCAGCAAATATTGTCTACACAAGTGACTTGGCTCGTCTTTGGAGCTGCTGCTCCCCCTTCCCATAGTGGATGTACTTGGCCTCCTTAGCTCCATGTCAAGCTTTGTTCTTCCCTCTCATGGAGTATTTTGTCTGGGGATCTTTTTCTTTTAAGTGTACATCATATGTTTTATCATGAATTATGTTTGTGTCTGGCCAGCCTGGCTTATGAGTTCCAAAGACAGAGACTTAGCCAACCTTCATGAACCTGGTTGGGTAGCTGGTTCTGTGCTTCACATAAAGTCAGTCTTGGTGGCCATTAAGTCCGTCTAATTTTAGACCTTTAGCCTCCTTGAAACCATACACTCTAAAGTTAAACATATTTAAGTCAAGAGAGACTGGAGGAAAAGCAGGTGATCTAGGCATACAAAGGTAGTGGTAACTCTACCCCTGGACAATATTCTGAACACGTGATGATAGCTTAGTGCTATACGCACTAGATCCTGAAAGGTCAGAGGCAGCCTTGATAGGCCTGGGATTCAGCCCCAGCAGGAGTTGCTTGTGCTTGATACATGGCCCTCAGGATAGGTTGCTGTGGATCCTAACATGAGGTCTTTGCCAGGAACAGGCAAGCTGCAGGGTTTTATGAGAGCTTAAGAGAAGGAACAGCGTTTATAAAGACTAAACCTTTCAGTGTCTGCGGGAGGTCCTTTAGGGAAACACTGTGGAAAATGATGGTTTGATTGAGGAAAGAATCGGTACCTTAATGAAGAGAAAATTGTTTGGACCCTTCTGCGTTTTTATATTTTCTTTTCCCTCACCCTTGGGGGAAACTTTCCCAGGTCTGCAACTACCACTCCCTCGGGGTCTCCACGGACCTCGCAACAGAATGTGTCCAATGCTTCTGAAGGTTCAACATGGAATCCTTTTGATGATGACAACTTCTCCAAACTCACAGCTGAAGAACTGCTTAACAAGGACTTTGCCAAGCTTGGGGAAGGTGAGCAAGCTGAGTCTTTCCTGTTCTTGGTTATAAGTCGGCTGAAAAGAAACTTGATTGTGTCTGTGTCTTAGCTGTAGAGGGATGTGCTTAGGAAAGGTCACCATGGACCTGTCTTGAAAAGGATTGATTTTGGGGTTTGCAAACTGACTTTTCATTTTTTCATTTTCATTTTTGCTGTAGCACTATTTTTTTTTTTCAAAAATACTGATCAACTGTGAGAAGCACTAGGAACTGTGGAGCGTAGAGGAGAAACTTTGAAAGGATTCAGTGGCATAAACTGAGATAATTACATCACGCTGAGTGATTCCTTGGAGAAGTGTAAATGTCCCGTTCATCCTCAGTGGGCTTGCCCTAGAAAGAGTAGCTGAGGGTGTGCCTCACAGAATACTGGGTCCTGATCACAGTTTATGTGTTGTTGACTGACCATAGAAAGGAGATTCCTTAAATACAAGGCATGTTTCTATCCAAAATAGCCATAGGCAAATCCACAGATCCCTGGGAAATCTCTCCAATGTGGAGTTGGGAGAAAAACACCCCTTGTGTACTCAGACTCAGCACAAAACAAAAGAATGAGCAGAGTCAGTGAATGATATAAACTGATTTACATTACAGCAGTGCTTTAAAAACATACTTTCTATCATTTTATTTTATTTTGTTTTGAAACAGTATCTCACTATGTAGTCTGGTTGGTCTGGAACTTCCTATGTAGACTAGGGTAACCTTAAATTCACAAAGATCCACTTGCCCCTCTGCCTCTGAGTGCTGGGATTAAAGTTGTAGACCATCATGCCTGGATGGTTCAGCCTTTTCAATAGAAGACAGGGCGTAGGGTTGATTTCCTTTGACAAGTCCTCTTCCTTGTTATCTCTGCTACTTCTTATTCTGTGCTGTAAACAGAATTTTTTTTGCTGCATTATTGAAAATTAGTATGTTTGTGTCTAATTAATGTGACATTGGGTTCTTTATGATTTTATTTATTTTTAAATTGTATAATGTGTGTGTCCATACATGGCTATATGCATGTGAGTGCAGGTCCATAGAAGCCAGATACATCAGATCCCTTAGAGCTTGAGTTATGGGTAGTTGTGACCTGCCTGATATAGGTGCTGGGAATTGAACTTTGGTACTCTGGAAGCACAAGAGTATGGACTCTGAACTGATGAACCCTCTCAACTCTCCAGCCCTGCCCCCCGGAGGTTTTGTTTTGGTATGTGTTGCTGTTGTTCTGCTGTCAGCTGTCATGTAGCCCTGCTGTTGGACCTGTCTTTCATAGCCTCTCACCGCGTTCTTCCCTGTCGCTCCATCTCAGCTCCCAAGCTGCTGCCAGCTTGGAGAACAGTCTTTGAGCATCGGCACAGACAAGGACTTTTTGGTGTTTGTTTAGTATGATGTGCCATAAATGTGGTAGGAAAAGTCACATCAGAGAGTGTTCTTCACCTCACTATGTGTCTGTGCATCCCAGGATTCTTCAAGGATGAACCCAGTGGTATTTTGTCCCTCTAGGAAAGCTTCCTGAGAAGCTTGGTGGCTCAGCAGAGAGTTTGATCCCAGGTTTCCAGTCAACACAAGGAGATGCCTTTGCCACTTCCTCATTTTCTGCTGGAACTGGTAAGTGAGACACATGCCTGAGACATGAGGATCACTGTTGTTTCCACTTCATAGATAGCTCTAGCATATGAAGAACCCAATTTCTGGTAGTAAGTCATTACTTTCCTTCATTCAGTAGTTGTCCAGCCAAAAGACATTTAAGGACCACCAAAAATCACTTTGAATTTAGGGGCTGGAGTGCTGTGGTGAATATACAGGATCTGCTCTCCCCGTTCAGTGTGTGTCTTATGTAGATATTTCTAATCTAAGGACCAGTGCTCTGGCAAGATTTTGTTATTGCTTAAAGTCTTCGGGATTACTTGAAGGATTCTAAGACTTAGAAACTGTCTTATACTTGATAATCTATTATATATACACATGCATTTTTAAAAACCAAATCAATGAGACTTGTTTTCTCCATTATTAATAAAAATTATCCATTCTTATTATATAAAAGTTATATATTTGTGTAGAAACAATCCAAATCATCCATGACCTCATCACCTAGACACAGTATAATGACTTCATCATGATGTATGTCTTGTCACTGTTCTGTTGCTTTGAAGAGAAACCATGACCAAGGCAGCTCTTCTTTAAAAAGGCATTTAATTGGAGTCTTGCCCCAGTTTTATAGGCTTAGTCCATGATCATCATGGATGTAGACAAGCATGTTGCTGAAACAGTAGCTGAATGTTATATGCCCTGATTGGTAAGCAGTTTGTAGAGAAACACTGGGCCTGGCATGGGTTTTTGAAACTTCAAAGTCCATCACCAGTGATACAACTTCTCCAAAAAGACCACACCTCCTAATCCTTCCCAAACAGCTCCACTAACTGGGTACTAAGCATTCAAGTATATGTGCTTATGGGGGTCGTTCTCATTCAAACCACCACAATGTGAACACTGCATTTAACTTTTTTAGGGTCATAAACATCTTTGTGAATCTAATGAAATTTATAGATCTTCCTCACCAAAATACATGTGGTCACGATTTTGTACAATTTTAGGTTTTGGTTTAAGATTGTGACACTGTGATATCCATCTGTATATTTTAAAACCAGTTTGTTTCTTCACTTAATAAATCTGGCATGGGCTAGTGAGGTGGCTCCATGGGTAAAGGCACTTACACCAAGCCTGACCACCTGAATATGAGCCTCAAAACCCACGTGGTGGTGGGTGCCTCTTAAGCCCCTGCACCCTTGATACACTTTCTGTACTGGGTGGTTTTGGGTGTCAACTTGACACAAGCTATAGAGTCATAAAAGAAAGGAACCTCAGCTGTGAAATGCCTCCTTGAGATCCAGCTGTAAGGCATTTTCTCATTTAGTGATCAATGGGGGAGGGTTTCCCATCTCAATTATACAGTCGAGATATTCCTCCACAGACATTTTCTGATGCCCATCTCCTGGGTAATTTTAGATTATGGCAAGCTGACACTTAACTGTAACCATTACAGACCTTTGGAGGACATCCCAAATCCAAACTCTAGCAGGATGTAAGGGAAAAACCAAGTAGTTCAAGTCATAGTGTTGAATAGCATGGGTGGTACTATCCTGCTGGTACAGAAAGTGTGCTTGTTGCAGAAGCTGGGTACGGGGCTCACACTTTGCCTGCAGCAACTTCCTGTGAGTCTGTATAATTTTCACTTTCCTTTTTGTTATTGGGGTTTGTTTTCTCTCTCTCTCTTCCTCTCTCTCTCTCTCTCCCCCTCCCTCCCTCCCTCCCTCCCTCCCTCCTTTTCTCTCCCTCAGACTTGTGATCTTTCTACCTCAGCTTCTAGGATACTTAAGAGTACAGTGTACATCACCATACCTGACTTTCAAATTAAAAAAAAATCACTTAGAAATCAAAATGGGATTTTAATTAACAGCCAAACAAGTACTAAAGTGAAATGTAAAGATGGTTAGAGTAGACGCCAAGAGACCCTGGTCTGATGCTTGCTTTGCAGGCAGACCTCTGACTTGTCTCAGTTTGGGCCTTTGTTTTCTTTGAAAAAAAATTGAGAAAAATAGTAGTAGAAACTTCCAGGACTTTAAAGATTTAAAGCTCTGATATGCTATAAGATACTTAATGTTTCTGGAACTAAAGTTTACCGAATACAGCATGAACAGCAATAGTATTAGGTAGGAGCACTGCACAGCACCTGTTTAGACATTGTAATAGTGCACTAAGACAGTTACTGCCTGGAGCACATGTGGGCTGTTGAAGTACACAGGAAATGGATAAACATATATTGACATTATGTGCCAAAGTGTGTAGGGGTGAGGGGCAGTAATTTCTAGAGACATTGAGCAGAGATTCCTGGGGTAGCGAACACTAAGAGAAAGCACATGGCTGTCCTACTCTGACCCCGCTGCATTCATAGTGTGGTACAGGACCCTTGGTGTGTCTTCTAGGTGTTTTGCTGTTAGTTGGGTTATTTCAGTTCACCTCCTCCTTTCTGTCTAAATTTGGATTTTCTCTGTTATTTGAGCTCTTGTATAAGTAGATGGTAAATGCATCAATATTTACTTGATATTTTCTGCTTTTCTCATTTTTTCTCTCCTAATTTTTCCTCTTCAACTAACTCCAGCTGAAAAAAGGAAGGGTGGGCAGGCTATGGACTCTGGCATCCCACTTCTAAGTGTGTCTGATCCTTTCATTCCTCTTCAAGTACCTGATGCTCCAGGTAGGTACATAGGACACATTTTTAGGTTAGCAGCTTCAATCTTATATTCCAAGACCTCGAGGGCCCCTGGGGAGTTCAACTTTAAGCTCTTGATGACAAGGACCTGAGTTCTAAGTCCTAATAATTGGTTGCTGTTGTATATTTTAATTTTCTTAGTAAGTTGGACAGACTTATTTTGGAGGGTACTAACTCTTACAAAGATAAAAATCACTTCAGGTTATACCACTTGTGCTCTGGATCAAATCAGTGTTCTTTTTTACACTGTTAAATAAAATTATTGTTAGTATATTTTGGGGGTAGTGGGAAAAAGGTTTTCATTGAAGCCAAGCTAGCTTCTATCCTTACTATGTAGCCAAGGGTAGCCTTTAACTATTGATCTTCCTGCTTTTACCTTCCAAGTACTCAGATACAGGTACATACCACTACATCACGGTTTGTGTTTATGATCATTTGGAGAGGCCTATGTATTGAAAAGAACATTACTCAATATTATTTTAATACAGAAATAGAAGCCATATGCATATGATAAAAAGAGTGGTGGCCAAGTGTGATGATAGTACTGTGGGTGATCCATCTGGTTCCTATTTGCTGTCAGTACTTTATTACTTTGTAATATAATAATATATAATGAAAGTTGATAGGGAATATGAGTCAGGAGGCTTAGGGTCCCTACTGAGTTCTGCTACTACCTGAACTCTCTGGGGCAGACTCCTCATCAGTGAAGGAAGTGGCTACTGGAGTTCCACTATCTTCTGTGTACCCTATTACTGATTCTTAGGGAGCTGCTAGAAAGTGGAGCTGGTTAGTTTCCATGGCTTTTGAAATGATGAGTGGATACACTCATCTGGACTCAGTAGATGCTAAAGGCTGCTTCCTGTTCTCTTCTCCTTATTTTTTTTCAGGGGACAGAATTGTGGGTGGTATGAGGTCACCTTTTATGGTAAAGCAGCTAAATCTGACATCTTAGAAGCATCTGGCAATTGTTTTGCTTCATTTCCCCAGTTCTTATGCCTTCCAAATCTTGACCTTGAGCTGACAAAATCAGCTTAATTTTTCTTTTCTCCCGGAGGTCAAAGATCTTTGATTGGCCACTTCAAAATTGAGGGGGAGGTGCTGGATAAATGGCTCTGTAGCTAAGCACACTTGCTTTTCTTCTAGAGGACCCACATTACCCCTGTGTGGCATCTTATAACTGCCTGTTACTTCAGCTCCAGGAGACCCAACACCCTCTTTTGGCCTCCTTGGGGACTTACACAAATGTGACATGCACCACCTACATACAGATACTACATATATATGGATAAAAATAACAATTAGGATTGGGAGGGAGTGGGCTGTTCAGTTCATATCTTTTCCTTATTGGACAAACTATAGCTAGTGTGCAGAGACAGTCTTTGTTCTCTATTGCTCAGTTGACCCTCTGATTGCCTGCCTCGGCATGCAGTAGCATGGCCATGGCTACTCTTGTAGTATGAGTAATAGTAGAGTAATAGCACCACTTACCTGGCCCAGATGCAGCTCAGATGTATGAGAAATCATTGGAGAATGGTTTTGTGGAAGTTGATTAATGAAATGGGTCGATTGAATCTCTTTCTTCTATTCAGTGTGTCTCTCCAGATGAATTAATTTTGAGCAGGTTGGAAAGGTGTGGATTTTTCGTCTTTGCTGTGGTTGGCATAGCATGAAACAAGGGCAAAAGTTATAAAGACATCCTTCCCCTGGAATACACTGGATTTTTGCATTGCAGTTGCTTTCAAAACCCAGGTTCTACAGAAGTTTGCTTTTGCCCAGGCAGAGAGTGAAGGTACTAGATGGTGGTTACCCTCCACAGCTGCCACAGGGGCCCTTTATATTAGGAGTACAGAGCCAGCAACACAGTGGTAGCTTTGTAAATTCCCAAAGATTTCAGAGATGCCCATTGCCTCATTCTCAATACTTTTCTTCATCCTGGAAGAGTCCTGGAAGAGTTTTAGTGGCATATACTCTAATACAAAGTGTCTTAGTGTTTTTATTGCTATGAAGAGACATTATGACTATGGAAATGCTTATAAAAGAAAACATTTAATTAGGGCTGACCTACAATTCAGAGGTTTAGTCCATTATCATCTTGGAGGGAAACATGGCAGCACACAGGCAGATATGATATTGGAAAGGTAGCTGAGAGTTCTACATCTGGATTGGCAGGCAGCAGGAAAAGAGAGCTATACTGGGCCTGGCTTAAGCATTTGAAACCTCAAAGCCCACCCCTAGTGACATACTTGCTTCAACAATGCTATACCTACTCCAACAAGGCCACACCTTCTAACAGTGCCTCTCACTCTAGGCCTTTGGGAACCGTTTTCATTCAAAACAC